AGCGCTGTGCCTTCCCCAGCAGGACATTGAACTGGCAGTGCCAACCAGCTCATCCTCTGCGTGGCATTTGGGGCTCTTATGCAGGCAAAGGGATCAGGACAACCATTGCCTCTCCTTCTGCAGCCGGTGGTTCGGGGGGTGATCTGCAAGGTTTGAAATGAGGAGGTTTAATTGATGTTCTGATCCTCTGGCATACCAGGGGGCACATCCCAGCTGTGCCTGCAGAGGCAGAGCCCCGTTTGCCCCAGGCACACTGCTGGTGCTCGGTGTGGGCTGTCGGTGCTGTGGTCGGTGGTGGCCGGGGTGTGAGGACACCCTTCCCGTGCTCACTGCTCTGCTCAGCACCTCTGGGAAATCAGCTGGTGCCTGAGCTGGGCAGTGTGAGTGCCAAGGGGAAGGTGACTGTGTCACACACAGGAACAGCCTGTGGGCAGCATCAGCGTGGGGTGCAGAGGGAGAAATGGTTTCCTGACCTCTTAATAGATACCCTCTGCCCTGCTCTGCATCTCTGCTGCCCCCCAGCACGGTCACCCTGGGGGAAAGGGCACATCCATCACTGCAGCAGAACCCACGTGCCACAGAGAGGCCTTTCTGAGCTATCAGGCATCAAGCTGAGCTGGGTAAGACTTAGTATCTGCTCCCTGCTCCCAGCCCTGGACCAGGCTGCCTGCCAGCTGTGCAGGCAGAGGCAGGGAGGTGGATATAACAAGCCCCTGTCCTTGCTGTCAGGCGTGGCTGGGAGCTGTCTCTGTGGTGCTCCTTGGCAGGCAGTGGAAATCCTCCAGAGTGGCTCAGTGCCAGACCCTTTATCCAGCCCCAGGGTCAGGAATAGAGGCCACAAGGGGCTGGGATGGGTTCTGAAGACTTCACGTGCTGCAGGAAACCTTTAAAGGGCTTCTGGAAGCTGCTGTGAGCAGGATGGTCTTGAGGCTTGAGTGGTGTGTGGCCATGGCACTCCCCCACGTGCCCAACCACCTCCTCCTGCAGCTGCAGAGCTGTCGGATTTGGTGATGGATATTTGCAGATTTAGGAACTACCTGGGTAGAGTTAGGTTTTAAACCTACAAATTAAACAGAGCAGATCCTAAATGGAGCAAAGACAAGTGTGGGCTGACGGTCTGACTGTGCTTGGAGGGATCCTGGGGGCCGATGGCACTGCACTGTTGTTGATGCCTGTGCTGCTTTGGGGCGTGATGGAGGTGGGCTCCCTGTTACCAACCATAAATGTGGGTGTGTCAGGGAAATCACGGAATTCAGAGCTATGGCCTGGTTTTGGTGGTTTTTTTTCCCCCACTCCTAAAAGCAAGAAGAGAAGATAAAACCCGCAGGCTGCAAGAGCCTCAGTCTAGAGATGCTGGAAGCGGTGTTGCAGCTCCTCTGGCTGTAAATACAGGCACCAGGGTCCTGTGGTTGTTGCTGTGCCCTTGGATGGGGAGATGGGAGAGGAGCATTCACTTGGGGAGATGCTGCTTCCCTCTGGGCACTGAGGAGGCAGGACCACGAGGTGCCAGGAGGACCCAGCTGTGGGTACGTGGCTGCAGCTGAGCATCTCTGAGGGGATGTTTTGCACAGAAGACCCCTCTGCTCCCCCGTGGCTGCCCCGTGCCCGCTCCACAGCCTGCTTGTAGTTGTGTCACAGGCAAATCTCCCTTCCTTCCTCCTCAGCTCTTAGGCTTTTTTTTTTTTTTTTTCCTTTCTTAGAAGAGAACAATACTGGAGGGCAAGGGAAGCTGTCTGGCTCCAGGCTGGCTTCCCTCTGCAGTGTAACTGTCCCCTGAGCTTTCCTCGGGGTTTCTTTCTCTGGGATGCTGGATCAGGATGGCAGTGGATCAGCATCAAGCATAAAAAATTCATGGAAATTAAGGCTTTTTTTGGTTGCTTCTTTTCTTTTATTTTTTCCTTTTTTTTTTTTTCTTTTTCTATTTAGACTCTGCATTTCAGACTCAGTTCACCTTAAATTGAACATTTCTTCCTAAATCCCAGGGAGGGCGAGCTTCCCGATCCTGCCCTTCTTAGCCATGCTGATGCTCATCCCTGGGGGATCTCCTTGCTGTGAGAGGCTTTGGGGGCCAAATATTCAGATGGGTTCAGCTCTGAGCTGAAGGTTTGTCCAGCAAAACCCAACCTGTGCCCACCCTAGGCCTGGGTGGGTCTGGGGTGGGCACAGGACACCCTCCACGCCAGGGTCCCGTACCCACAGCGTTCTGATGACTCTGTGCTCCCTCCCAAATTTCAGGCTGACCCTGATCTCCAAACCCAGCCTGAGCCACGTGTGCCCTGATTTTTTGCAGGCCAGCCCCTGGGCCCGAGGCCATGCCCGAGTGGAGTGAGGAGCAGCTCTGCACTCGCCCTGCCACAGACACCCCACGGCCACCCAGCCCACCCTGGGCTGCAGCCCCAGCCCGGCCATGGACAGCACAGGTGGGTGATGCTGAGCCCCCCGGGGGGCTGGGGTGAGGGGATCCCCGTGAATGAACCCCCAACCATCACCTTCTTCTGCCTCAATCCCCCTCCAATAAAACACGTGGATGCCTGAACTGGGCAGATGCTCTTAGCGAGGAGTTGGCAGATGCTGCTGGGCAGGTGGAAATGAGGCACAAAGCAGCAGAGGGGCAGCCAAAAGATTGCTGTAGTGGGGCACTTTGAAAGCCTCAGGAGTGGCAACCCTTCTCATTTGAGTTTTAAAGCAGTTTTATATGTTTTTTTTTTGGTGTCCATTTCCCCCCCCCCCCCCATATTTTATTTTCGCGCCGTTTCACAGGGTGGTGTTGATCTCCCAGCACCCCGAGGTCAGGATGTCACTGCTGAAACATTTTATTTAATTTCTGAGCCACTACTGTTTGTTGCTGGTACGTTGAGCCTGTTTTTAGATCAAAGGTCCTCTTGTTTGTGTTGGAACAATCTCTTTGACGCTCTGCTCCCCATGAAGAAACCTCCGAGTATCTTGGCTGAGGTTGCTTTGATTTAGAAGGAGAGGACACTATTTATATCAATGCCCAGGAAAAGCTTCCTCTGGTAATTACAAACGTACACAAATGAAAAGAGCAGGAAATTTCAAATAGTCCATTAATGCATAATCCCTGAGTGCAAACCCAATAAACACAACAGTGAAACTGAGGAGCTTCACAAAATCACCGCAGAGAAAAAAAAAGGAAGGAAAATTTCCAAGACATTTCCCCAAATGACACTTCCCAAATGAGGAAAATCCCGTTTCAAAGGACACTTTTGCACTGTAATTTCTCCCTGTGTGGGCACCATGACATGAACTGTGCTTCCCTTGGGCACACACAGAGCTTCATCAGCAGGTGTGAATAATTGTGACCCTGAGAGTGTGGCTGTTTCCTGAAGCCTGGATTGAATGAATCCTCCCTACAAGCATCCTTAAGGGATGCACTCTCCTGGGGTCACTAAATAGGGGAACTGTTTTGGCTGTTGGGGTGTGCTCAGGAATAGGTCATCCCAAATATTTTAAATTTTGCATTTCCCAGCTGTCTTTTAGGCAGAGCTCATGTCTGGTGCCCCTATTCCCTTATCACCATCTCTTTGGACCCTTCAGTGGCCAAGGGAGGAGGTTTGGAGCTGTGGTCCCCGAGTACAGCTCTGGATCTTGTAGAGAAATCAATGCCCTCCTGCTCTTGCTCTGATGTCAGGGAAAAAGGAAATGTGGCAGCAGAAGGTATGGAGGGAATGAGAAAACACAGCAGCAAAAGTGGGCAGGAAATGTGGTGGTGATGACACTGTGTGGATGAGACAACTCTGACCAGCCACAAACATCTGAGGTCCCTGGAAGTTTTTAAGCCCAGGTTGGACGGGGCTTGGAGCAACCTGGGCTGGTGGAAGATGTCCCTGCCCATGGCAGGGGGTGGAACGAGATGATCTTTAAGGTCCCTTCCAACCCAAACCATCCTGGGATTCTGTGATCCTTCCCTGGACCCGGCCATGTTCTCGCTGCTCCAGCCTGAAATTTCCTACGGCAGGAGAACATAACCTAAAAATATCTAACTTTATATAAGGTTTTTTTTTTTTCATTACAAGGAAATAAGAATCCTTTTTCCAATGGGGAAAGAGCAGCCCAGGGTAAGGGGGGGACACAAAGGCAGAACCATGGTGGGGTACAGGGACCTTGCAGCCTTCCTGCCCTTTACCCACATGCTGATTTTTGTGCATGGCCAGTCAGCTGTCACCCTGTGAGCTCCTGCTCACGAGCCCCCAGCCCGCTGAGAGTCCTGGCCCAAACTGGGGCTGAGGTTGTAGAACTTATTTTTGACCAAGAGCAGGATGCAGTTTGGTTTTGATGAGTACAAAGCGTATGTGGTGGTTACCAGGCAGAAGCAGCGACCCAGAGTCCCTCCCTGGGGAAGCAGAAGGTGCTCCAGGCCCGGGGGTGGGTGGTTGCATGTCATGGGGAGGCTGTGAGGGGTCACAGGCGAAGGCAGGAGGGGACACACCAGCCTGGTGGCTCTGCCTGTGTTTTTCCCATGAGGGCTGAGCTGCTGGTGTGGGCAGCAGACCTTGTTGCAAGAGTCCTCCTTGCGATGAGCGTGAGGTTGAGGCTGAATCCGTGCAGTGCCAAAATGCAGAGGTGTTTCTGCTCGTTCCTGGTGCCAAGTTGTGCTTTAATTTTGTTAGTTTCTATATTTAATGTGTGATTTTTTTTTTTTTTTATCGAACAGGGGGAGAGGAAAGCTCTGCAGAGCTCGTGTGTGAGCATTCTTCTGCAAAGCCTCTCTACCACCACGTCCCTGCAGGAGCCCTCTGCTCTCCAGCAGGGCTCCAGGGACCACCGGTCCATGGGCTGGCATTCCCACCCAGCTCCAGCAGCTCTGCTGTGTTTCCACAGAGGTTCATTCAGGATTGAAACCTGCTGAGACAGCCACCCTGAGGGCTGTGAGGAAGGGGCAGTCCCTGTGCTCAGCCAAACCGGTGCCTCCTGCCTCGGGGTTGTCCCGGTCTCCCAGGGGTGCTGTCCTGGCTGCTCACGCCCTCTTTGTCCCCGCAGAGGTGGAGTCCGACATCCTGCGCCGGGTCCGGACGCTGCTGCGAGAGCTGGACGGGCACCACCCGGCCTGCCAGTGTGACCGAGGTGAGACACACCTCTGGCACCGCCCCTGGGCTGTGCCCTCCTTGCTGGGGCTTGCTTGGCCCCGACACCCCCTGCTCGCCTCTCCGAGGCAGTGCCAGGGTGGGGGGACACGGTGGCTTCCCCCTCCCTGGCGCTGCTCTGCCCTCCCCAAGCTGCTCTTGGAGGTGCCAAATCTTTGCTGAGCTCCTGGTGACCCTGGGATCAGCTCAGCTGCTAACACACCGAGGTTGTGGGTTTGGTCCCTCATGGGCCATTCACTTGAAAGTTGGACTTGGTGACCCTTGTGGGTCCCTTCCATCTCAGAATAATATCCTGTGATACTGTTGTTCTGTGAGCAGCCCCAGCCATTTTCATCATCCTCTACGTGGCTTTTACATCCTTCCCACCCTACACTCGCCCAGGGGGTCCAGCATTAAGGTGGGACATAAATGCAGAGGTCTCAGATCCGACACTGGCTCCTGGCACATCCCTGTCCAACTCACTCAGCCCCTTGGAGCTGGAGTTTCCCTCTCTCTCTCCATGGGGATATTGTTTTGCCATTCACTGCTCATCTCCTCACTGAAGAGCCACTTGATTTCTCTGTGTTATGGATCTGGAGAATGAAACTCCACCTGAGCCAGCCACTGGATGGTCACAGCCTTAGGAAACCTAATTAATTTTGAAAAATTGATTTTTCTCGGAGCACGTGGAATATTTTACAGTTAATGAAGTTTGATTTTGTCTGGAATGAGCCTTGACATCCTCAGGACTGAGATGCTTTGCAGTCCTTGCTCTGAGTGCTGTTGGCAGGCAGTGTTCAGGTGCTGTGTGCTGGGGACCAGCAGGAACCCAAATTCCTCATGACAGGCTGGGAAAACAGGCAGAACAACAGAACAACAGAGGCAACAGGAAACAAACTTCGTGCCCATTGCCCTGCCTTGCTCTTCTCCAGCCCCCACAGTCCTGGAGACCTTTGTCCAAAGGTTTCCCAGTACTGGAGATCTGACACTTCGATGCTGCATCCAGAGCCAGGGCAGCAGCCTGGCTTGTCCCTTGCAGAGGGACAATGATTGAAGCAGAGGGAAGACAAATCTGGTTTAGCTCTGATAGTGCAGCATCTCCGTGGGTGTTTCTTGCACCAACAGTGCCCAGGTCTCCTGACTGCTCTGTGGAACACCCTGATCCCTCACTGCTCTGCTTGGCAACCTCACCTTTCCTGGCTTTCACTTCTCAGGGATGCTGCGATGGACCCTGCATAAAAAAATCGACCAGAATCCCAGTAACAGCTCTGTCCTGGTCAGGATCCTGGTGAAGGAGCTGGAAAGGGTAAGTGCCACCTCAGAGATGTCCCCCGAGTGCCGGGCTTGGCCCCTCCATGGCACGTGCCCTGCTGGGTGGGCAGAGGGATGGGGACTCAACTCCGCCTCAGACAGGAGTTTTTAGGGGCCTTGAGCCCAGCTGGGGACTGTGGGTCAGCACAGAGTGGAAAACCCTGTAGGACACCAGGGCAGAGCTGTAGCTTGTCCCCAGATGCTGTCTGCAGGGGCCAGGGTTTGTCCCAGAAGTGACGGTGAGCCGTGGGCAGAGCCAGGAACCTCCCCAGGCTCCTCAGTGTCACGGCAGCCAAGCCCTCACAGCTTGCAAATAGTGATCAACACCTCATCCCACCCCAAATCTCCCTCATCCCACCCCAGCAGCTGTGGTTACAGGTGGAGTGGAAAATACTCCTCCACATCACCCACTGTGATGAAGCACCTTACCCAGCATCCTGTCCTGGGAGCACAGGTGGAAACCTGTGATGGGTTTTTGGTTTCATTGATTTATTTTGTCCTTTTCTGGTCTTGTATAAACCTTCAGCACCCTCAGCATCCTGGTGTGACCTGGTTTGTGGTTTGCTGAGGTGTCATGTGTAGAAGCAGCACCTTTTCTGTCTCATGTGCCTGCCTCATTTTACCCAGTGCCCTCATTCTGGTGCAGGGAGGATCAGCCCCTGTTCCCCTCCTCCTCCTCCTTCTCCCCCTCCTCACCCCACTGATGAGCCCACACTCTGTGCACAAACCTCCCCGTACCATTTTCTCAGCATTTTTACTAATTTCTCCTTCTGATCTGGGAGGATGGAGCAGCCCTGCTGAGGCTGCCCCCTCCCTCCCTCAACACGTGCCACACACACGGGCCATGCCAGCCCAGTGCAGATCCCTGTGCACACATCCAGCAGTTATTCCCCAATCCCAGATTTCTGCCTTTTAGCAGCTCTGAGGCTGCTTGCAGGCTGTCTGTCCCATGCTGTGGCAGTTCAGCTTCCATCAGTGCCTTGGGAAGGCATTTTATCCGGCAGCTTTTGCAAATCCAGATAGACAGGAACACCCACATCACCCTTGGCTGTGGATACAGGGATTTTCCCCGGGGACTTGAGAGCTGCTTTCTCTGCTAAAGCCCTGGCAGTTCTCCTCATAGGTATTATCACTCTGCTACTCTTATCTTTCCTTGCCCAGCAGGGGTGTCAGTGCTCCTGGTTTGTAATTCCCTTCATCTCCCTGAAGCTCTTCCTGGAAATGTGTGACACTTGTTTGGGTTTTATTATTTTTTCGCTCCTCTGGTGCTGCAGCAGCTCTGAGCCATCAGTATCAACCATAGATGATAATTTAGCAATTTCATGCTTGAGTTCCTCCAGGGCAAATATCAACTGGTCTCAGCAATTCAGTGTTATTCATTTCATTGATCATTTCTAAAGCCTTGCTGCCATCATTTCCATTTAATTCAGATCCATCAACCCATCAGCCCTGAAGAAAGGTGCTAGAAATATCTCTGGAGTGGAAATACCTTTCCCAAGTTTATCCCTGGGCATTCCTGTTGCTGGAGCTGTTGTTAGAGCCGGACCAGGCTGCAGGGAGGGGCTGGAGCTGTGTCAGCTGGAACATCCATCTGGCTTCCCATGGGCCAGGATGGGGATGCAAGAACAGGTCTCCTCCCTGTTCACTCTGGTCCCACACCCACCAAATGTAAGACAGACTTTTCCCAGAGGTTTTGGTTTCCCACATGAGCTTCTGCAAGAGAAAGGAGGTCAGTTAGAAACTTCTGCTCCCCCTCTCCCACCGTGGCTGTGTGGTCCATGCACCATCCAGGGACATCCTGCCCACCCCAAAAGCCTGTGGGGGATCCCAAACCTCACCTTGACCCAGGAATCAGCCCCTTAAGTGTGTCTGAGCTGCTGAGAGACACAACCCAGCACATCCTGGGTGCTCTGGGGGCTCATTCCCAGGGCTGGTGCCCAGCTGGGTGATCCTGCTGGGACTGACTGTTCCTTCTGCTTCCACAGGCAGAGCGGGGTGACTTCAGGCATTACATCATCCCCTTGCTGCACACCCTGATGTACACCTTGATCAAGGTAACCTACTGGGGGCCTTGCTGGGGCAAGAGCCAGGGGAAATCAGAAGCCACAGGAGGGGCCCCTTGAAGTGATTCAGGACCTGTTCCTGTGCTGGAATAACCCAGTACCTGCCCAGCAAAGCCCTGGGACTGCCATGGGTGGACTCAGTTGGGTATTTCCCAGGGTGCTGTTTGGTGGCTGAGACTCTGTCACCTGTGACACACACAGGAGTGACAGGCCCTTCCAGCTGACCCACTTTGCTGGAGGTGTTTAGGTGCCTGGAGGTGCAGGAAGCCACAACCTGGTAAAAAAAGCGCCCACATCCTTCAGTGGTTATTGCTGGAGATTTTCCAAGCATTTGTAAGGTCTGATTCTGCTTCATTTTGCATTGAAATCCATATTGAATTTGGGCAGCTCTGGGGTCTGTAGGGAGAGCAGCATTAGGGATCCCTGCCCGTGGCATCTCCTTGTGTCTCCCCAGGCTCCCTGCATCTCTGAGGAGCTCTGTGGCAGAGTCTACGACTTCTGCAAGAAGCTGCTGACCCTGCCCAAGCCTTTCTGCACCATTGGGCTGGACTATGCCACCAGGCTGAAGGTGGAGAGGACAGCACCAGGTAGGAGGGTCTGTCCCTGAGTGGCACCGGGCACAGCTGTGCCCTCGAGGCAACGGGACTGGGGTGTCATGAAGCAAAACAGCTCTAGCCCAGCCAAAACCAGCTCATGGGGGCTCTGGGGGATTTGCATACCTGAGCTGGCCTTTGCCCAGTGCAGTGAGCCATGGCAGGGAGATGGGCAAATGCTTGGGGGTCTTGGGCGTGCATTGAGGTGGGAGGGTTCCTCTCTCCTGACCTCAGGCTGCTGAGCCTTGGTTAGTAGCAGACAACTTGGGGGTCATCCTGCTGTCAGTGCGGGCACACCAGAGTCAAGGCGTCGGGTAGATTCCGGTCGATATATACATTTTTATATCTCTATATCTATATCTATGTCTAGGTGTGGGAGACGTAATACTCCTCACCGACTTCAGTGAACCACACAAGTCGACCTCGTCTCCTCTGACTCCCCTCTGGAGGGACGTCAAGGTTGACGGACCCGTCCCCGTCTCCTCCCCGTCCTGACTCGAGACGAGACCTCTGGGGGGAGCAGGGACAGCCCCCAGGGAATGGCTGGAGCTGTGTCAGGGCAGGCTCAGGCTGGATCTCAGCAAAAGGTTCTTCCCCCACAGGCTGGTTGGGCACTGAACAGGCTCCCCAGGGCAGTGGGCACAGCCCCAAGGCTGCCAGAGCTGCAGGAGGCTTTGGATGATCCTCTGGGGCACAGGGGGTGACTCTTGGGGATGGGCCTGTGCAGGGCCAGGAGTTGGACTTGATGGTCCTTGTGGGTCCCTTCCAACTCCCAATTCTATTTGGGAAACAGGATGTTTCTGCTCCCAGCCTGGGCATCTCAGTGCATTTTGTGGAGGTCTCTTTTATGCAAAGTAAATTTTCCATCTGAGATTGAGACTGCCCAGCATGGGCTGTCCTTCCAGTACCTGTGCATCAGGCTGTAGACACTAAAATGCCAGAAGTGTCCTCAGAGAACAGTCCCTTCTACAAAGCAAGCTAAAGGATAACTTTCCCTTTTCTCCACATTGCTTTTTAGAAGTTCTTCTTTTTATAGTTTTCTTTAATAAGATTCTTTAAAAGTAATCCTTTAGAACAGTGCAAGGTACAGACACCCTGTGGCGGGGAGGTAAAACATGAGAAACCTGGTGGGAAATTAAAAAATGCCATTTTAGGTATTCTCAGCTCATCCTCATCACCCCAACCACCCTTCCTCAGTACTGCCTTGTCTGGAGCTCCAGTGTCCACCTTTATCTCACCTGATTTCTGCTAAAGGAATGATTCAGTGTGGAGAGATGGGGATCTCCAGTGGGGCTTCCCTCAGAGCACCACAAGGTTCCCAAGATGATTGTAGCTGAGCAATGCCAGGTGGGTGTATCTTGCCCTCCCCAGAGCTGGGTGAGGGTAAAATACATCTCTCCTACATCACAATCCCGTTGTGCTCTTCATATCCCCCCAGACACTGTTCCCCCATGTGGCCCTGGGGAGGGAGGCCAGGAGTAGGGCTCTTCCTCCTGCTTCCTCCCAAGCTCATAATCCACTAAACAAAGGAAGGGAAACACAGGAAATGATCCCTGAATAGAAGGGGTTTTCTTTTTATGTAGCATGACCTACCTTTGCCTTTG